AAATTTCTCTGTTTTTCTCTCTTTTTCTTCCTCTTTCTTTCTCTTGTATTTCTTGAGATATTGTGAGGTATTGTAGTGTGAAAGGATGCCACAAAGCACCTAGAATCACCATTAACAAAGCTTGATACGAGGTATTTCAATCAATCTTCTTCTCTCTCCTTTATTTTTTATCTTTGTTTCTTATTTTTGATAAACATTATTATCATAAACGCAATCATGTAGATATTTTAGGGTTAATCGTATAATTTAATTTTTCAATATGTAAATAATTATCAATAAAAGGGGATAAATATTTAATTTATTATTTCTTATCGCATTAACTTCATCATAGGGTACCGATTTAGGGCGCTGTAAGGGTGCTTAATACCTTCCTTACACGTAACCGACTCCCGAACCCAATTCTGGTTATCAAGGCCATTATTGGAGCTTTTAAAAATCTTTTCTTTTTCCAATGTTTTGAGTAAAACATTGGTGGCGACTCCATAGAACCTATTTTCAAAAACCATTGATTAAGGATTAGTCTGGTATCCGGGCATTCCTTACTTGATGAGATTTTCAAAAGGATGTCTAAACCATAGGTCGCAAGATCGGAAATTTTCGGGTTGTGACACTACGCCACTACTTTCAAAGTCACCTAGTAGTAGTACATACCGACTGCCTGATCTCCAAGGTTTTGAGGAAGCCCAAACTTGCCGGGAGAATGATGGCCTGGTCGGTGGAGCTCTCACAATTTGACATCACCTACAGGCCGAGAGGGCCGATCAAAGCCCAATGCCTGGTGGACTTCGTCAACGAGCTACACCCACACAGCTACTTTGAGGAGCAATGGTGGATCCTACATGTAGACGGTTCCTCAAACCGCCAGGGGAGTGGGGCGGGGGTGATCTTAGAAGGACCGAGGGGGATAACCCTGGAACAGTCATTACGCTTCAGATTCAAAGCCTCCAACAACCAAGCCGAATATGAGGCTCTGCTCACCGCCCTAAGACTAGCCGAAGACATGGGAGCTTCGAGAATCAAATGCCTGACTGATTCCAAAGTGGTGGCCGAACAAGTCGGTGGGAGCTTTCAAGTGAAAGACCACAACATGATTAGATACTACCACGCCTATCAAAAGTTAAAGACAAAATTCCAAGAGGTGTTGGTCGAGCACATCCCACGCGAAAACAACGCACGAGCCGACCAATTGGCCAGATTGGCGGCAACCAAAAAGCCGGGCCAACTAAGAACAATTATCCAACAAGAAATCAGTCACCCGAGTGTGGATGAGGAAATGATAGCAACTGTTGACACCGACCAGAACGACCATAATAACCCCTCCGATTGGAGGGATAAAATCAAGGCCTTCATCAATGATTGCGCGCTTCCGGCCGATCCCACGAAGCCAAGAGAATAAGAACACAGGCCAGCCGGTACGTCATCATCGTGGGTTTGTTGTATAGGCGCGGCTTTTCCACCCCCTGCTCAAGTGTTTAGCTCCGACCGAAGCCGAATAC